ATTTAGTGCTACTTGGTCCCAATGGAATTTCCCATTGGGAACCTGCTAGCACTAAGTTGCTAACTGGTTTGCAAGATGCTACTGACAAACCGGCCACAATCAAACTTGCTTGCGAACCTTTCGCCACAACAATCCCGCCCTCTTGATAATCGACCAATCACATTCACTTTATTCACTCGTGAAAAGTTACTTACACCACTTGGGAGAATTCGGAAATGCAACAGTTGGAACAGCAGTTTCCCTACGACTTTAAGAAATAATTAAAAACCAAAATCATTCACAATCAGTATTGAATGTTTTACTCCAGGCTTTCATATAATCCGATTATTAATCGATTAATCAAAGAATAATCAACCGATTCATCGATTTGCAAAATAATCGTTAGTTGCAGCACTAAAATAATAGCCTGGGTGCCATTCCGAACTTAGTCCCGCCCACAAGGTTTGAGGTTGGGAAATTCGGTCTGGCATTGCTCCATAGTAGCGCGAGTATGATCGCCCCCTCTCTGGCGATCCAATCAAATTTTCAGGGCGGGCTTTATACGATGATGGACAGATGATCAACAGTAACGTAATCAACCATGTGACCAAAGCGCGCTTGGGTGACAACAACAATGGCTGCCGCCGGAGAGTTTAGGTGAGTAGATTCTGCTATTAGGTCTGTTCTAGAAGATATCGACAGCAAATTAATTTTAAAAGAGGAACAGAGAAATGCGATCAAGGCTCATCTTCTTATTTTAGGCGTGCAACTGCACGCTTTGATTTTTGTTGACAACAACTATGCGTCTCTTAACATACATCATGCACTCCGTTGCTCTTATTGGTTGTAGGTCTATCCAATTGAGTGCAGAGGCATTTTTTTTCCTGGTTCGTTCAAAACACGCCCCATAATCACAGCTCTATGGAGCAGTATCAGACCCATATTCTGACTAGAATTGAGTAGGACTACATCAGGCTACTAAAATAAATGAATACAAACAAAAACACAAATATGAATACATATCAAAAATATCATTACGTTGACACGGATAAAGTCCCTAAGAAGCTTTTAAAAAGTTTTATTTCACTGCATTGTTAGCATGTTTCAGCTGCAGTCTGCAAAACAGTCATTTCTAAAGATAAGCAGACAGACGGTGGGGATCCTTCAGACACAGCTGCCATATTAGATGACGAGGGTTTTATGTATTGTTTTCTTCTAAGCTTCTAACAAGACAGTCATGCAACAGAGCCAGATTCTCATAGCAGAGCAGAATGTTGACTGCTAACAAAGCCAGCACCTCCAGGTGGATTAAAGAGGTTACTATAGAGCCTAGGAATAACAAAAAGACAGTCTAACCTGGAAGCTTTTGTTAAGTTGCTATACATTATGTGAAGGGACAAACAGCTGGTTGATTCTCTAAGCTAACCCTGGCTATCACCTCCAATATCCAGCCAACCTTTTAAAGCACAACTTGTTATCTGTGACCACAGGAGCCCTTTGTAAAACCCCCACAAAACCAAAGTATTAAAAAAAGTTAAGAATCGAAAAAATGTATGTTTTCCCAAACTCTCTCATTGACTGAATTTCTTGCACTAAATTTTCACGGGCCATTAAAAGGTGCATTAATGAAATGATTTTAAATAATCACCCAAAGTGCAGATGACTGGTGATTAATTTCAACTTTCCCTGTATGGATAAAATGTGAGGAAGAGTTTAGATACTTAAAATAAAAACTAAAAAGAGCAAAAAGAAAAAAGCTTCTGGCAGTGTAGTTTTATTTGAGGATAGAGAGATGACTTAAAGCAGGGAGTAAGCCTAAAATACAAGAGTTAAGTGATCAGGAGTTATAGAACCAAGAATTAAGACAAGATCAAGAATAAGAAGAACAATTAGAGTCAATTTATGAATTGAGCTTCAATCTCTTTCTCTTTTTTTTTTAGTATAAAAGCTTGGTTACCTCTGTATGAACTGCACTTGAGGTTACATATATGATTCTGACTTGTTTCCACAGTAGGTTAAGAGTGACTTCTTTGTTTCCTGTTTTTATATAGCATACAGTGAGGGTAACTGAAAATGACTATCATTAAGAAAGATCATTCTGACCTAATCTTACATGTAAAACACAATAAATATTCCTCCCACTTATTAAATAAAAATACCAGAAAGGCTGTAAAGATACCTCACAGATTCCTCAAGCTCATCTTTAAGATGACTTTAAATATAATCCTAGTAAAATTCAAGCTGTTCATCAGAATGATTCTCAGTAATGTTAACTGATTTATGGTTATGCTTCATTATAGACGACCCTAAATAATCAGATCAAATGTTTTGGGGGGCATTTTTGACCGTTTCTTTCTAAATAAAGCTTTCAAACAGTTCCTTGGTTCATGCTCCGTTATTTTGGAATATCAAATTCTTACCATATTTTAAACAGGAAAGCTAAACCTTTTAATTTGTTGATTATTAATGCTAATTAACTCAACATGGCAACTGATTTTCTCCTACTTAGTGAGCTTCTTAAAACTGAAATGATCAATGTTCAACTTTCTGCTGATCATCTTTAAAAGAAATGACAATATTCTTTACTTCATAGTTGAGGGCTTTATCTTTTAAGAATAAATATATTTATTCACTTTTCCAGCTAGAATACATACACAATAAATGTTCTCTATTTGAAGTAAAGGTGAACTTTTTTAAATTACTTTTCCATATAAAAACACATCTGAAACAATAGCTCTCACGTCTGCATGTGATTAGAAGTTCTGCAGAGGTAAAGATGGGGATGGGAAAGTGTTGAGTAATCCACCACAAATCTGAAATAACTGTCAACCTGAATTAATTATTCATCCTTATTTGGTTTTTATTTCATTGGAAACATTCTCAGACATTCGAACAGACGTTGTCAAGCTCAGAGAAACTGAAAGAAGAGCTTTAACCTTGAGCCTTTCCTTTATGCATATAAGCAGCCAACTTTTCCAAGTGTGAAAGGAAACTGGAGCTTCCTTGATGTACGGAGGTTCTGTGAACCTAACCGCTGCAAAATGCAACAATTCACACAACATATCTTAGTGATGTTGCAACCACACACTGCAAAGGTGTTTAGGGAAAGAATCCTTTAAGCGAAGCCTTGCATTGCAACCTAAACATTTCCTTTCTGGAACTGAGGTTTCCTAACTGATGCCTTCAGTGACCATCGCTGTGTGGAAAAAAACAGCAACATGCATGTGATATTCTTCTGCAGGGATTTAAAACGTTAAGGAAGCTCATCTGGCTGTTTTATGGAGCAGAAATCACTTTCCTCTAATCCAGCAAGCTAAAAAAAAACAGATCTGTCATCTGTGAGGTTACACATGTCAGAGGAGAAAGCAATCATTGCTGCATTTTAAGAGCTATTTACTTGGAGGGAAAGGCCATCTAAGGGAAACCCTTTTTTTATTGCACATCAATAAATAAGGAAATGCTCATTATCAAACTTTATATTTTTAAAGCTATAATTCCGTTATAGGAAAAAAAAAAAAAAGTATGAGTATCATCTTAAAAAAACTGAACTAACATGGACTCACTAGACTGTAAATCCAGCTGACAGCCCAGCAGCTCTGGGCTATAGGAAAACCAACATACACCCACACACCTCAGCAACCACAGACATGGACAGCAGAGCTGATTATTGACAAAAACCTACAGCTACATACATGCCAGGACAGGAAAAACAATCGTCTTCAAGTCCTATTTTTAGACTCTGCCCTGAGATTAAATCAGATCGAGCAAAACACAGTGGACCTTTGCTTCATGTAAATTATCCAATCAGTGCTGCACAGGAGGGAGTCATATAAGAAAAATAGGTTGGATGAGACTTAATTGTAATTTTTAAGAAAGAAAATTTATTTTTCATGGCTAAATTTTAAGGGCAGGCTTAAAACATTCCTTTTTTATAAAGCTTATAGTTAGAGTGCCTCAGGTTATCCTGAGCTATCTCTATACTTATGCTGTTATAGGCTTAGACTGCTGGAGGACGTCTAAGCTGTTTCATAATTTTCCTTCAATCTGTCTCTATTCTCCCACTCTGCAGAATCTGTTAGTTCAATCTCTAATGTTCTGCTCTCTCTGCTTTTCCTCATAGTAGCTTTGCCTTGTCTGTTCCTGTTGGTTGTGACGCCATCCTGGAGAGAAATATCAGCTGGGCTGCAGCCATCAACACCTTTGCTTATAGAAGTTGGAGATCTGCCTGTTTTCCAGTGTAGTCCTGTTTCTCTGACTGTGACTGGCTGGATGTGCTCTCTTCATCCTCTGACATGGGAGTTGGCTCAGAGCTCGTCTGCCTGGCTGTGTATTTCCTGGAAGGGGCCGCCTTTTACAGCTGCTTTTGTATCCCTGCTTCTGTGTCCTTGAACCCCAGTCAGCCTCAGCACTGAGCCTGGTTCTGCTGGAGGTTTCTTCCTATTAAAATAGAGTTTTTCCTCTCCACTGTCGCTACAAGCATGCTTCATGTGAGAGATTGCATTCAAGTCAATGAGACGATGCAATCTGGCTTTCCTTAGATATCAAACTTTGAATCAATTTGACTGTATGATCTGGTGAACTGTAAATTGAGATGACATGTGTTGTGAATTGGCGCTATAGAAATAAACTGAATTGAATAATTAGTTGTATTAAAAAATCATGGCTAAATTAACAAACAAATGTCTACAAAATAGAAATGGTTATTTTGCTCATTGTAGTATTTTACTCCTAAAGATGTAATAAAAAAATTTAACTCCTCCTCTTTAACTTGGGTTTTATGCAAAAGGCTTTAAATGCTGTTTTATTCAATGGAGTTGTTCAAGTTCATCTGAAAGCATTTAACATGCCTAGTGTAACCCCCCCACAGGCACATGTAGGGAATAAAATCCACCCTGAAGCTTTGCTGTAACCGTCCGGGAAACAGAAACCACTGAGGTCATGGGAAAAAAAACATTAAAAAAAAAAAAAAGTATCCAAAAAGAGGGGAAATCCGCAAAAAAAAAAAAAAAAAAAGAACTTACCTCCTCCACGGTGAGGGGCATGCATATCCTGTACTCCTTCATCAACATCTTCCTCCCTCAGTGTGTGTTCACTGTGTCAGACTCAGCAGAGTTCCCCTTCCCGCCGCCCGACCGGCAGGATGTCTGACAGCACCGAGTCGATCTGGAAGATACCGGAATTCAGCGCACGTTAGAGGATGAGAAGCCCGAGTTACGCTGGACTTGTTTTCATCGGAACCAGCAGACGGTGATTGCTCTGCATCGCCTGGTGTGACCGGAGAAATGAGCTCGGCTGCCTCTGGGTTGGCCCTCCCACCGCGCTCAGCCGTTAAGCTGCAGAGAGCGCGAACGGAAATAAAAAACGGACACCCTTTCCAAATTAGAGCCGCTTTGTGAACAGTTCAATCAAGGGGAAAAAAAGAAGTTTTAATCAAGTAAAGTGAGAAAATTGAATTTGACTCCGTTTTATATCACTCACATTTTAGCAACCTTAATTTTTAAAATAGACTTTAATTCTTGTAGGATAAATAGTAAACATAATCAATGGTAGCCTAGTAAACTAGCCCCAGCTGCCAGCGGCCTAAATCATTTTTGCCAGAGAGTCGTCTAGCCTCGATCAATGCCCCAGGCCCTAGAACTGGCGGGCCAATCACAACGCAGAGATGTGTTTTGAATTTCTGGATGCAAAGCGGGTGCTGTTTTGAGGGTGTGACGACAAAGCTGCACAACGCTGGAGAAAGACAACAAGGAAGATTGCAACAACTATAGAACAGTTCTCATTTGACTCAGCTTTGGAATAAGTTTTTCAACGATTAGACTTGGGGTTTTGGTTGAAACGTGAGCAGGAAGAGGCTCTACGCTCATTTATCTTTAAGAAGGACGTTTTTGCCGTTTTACCAAAAGGCTGTTTGTTTTCACTTCCCCTCCAGCATTCTGTCGCACTTACTACGTCAGTCTGTTGGTCAAATTGACTCATTGGCCAATACGCACAGACATGGTTTGAAAGACAACGGGTTATTCTCATCAACAATCTTCCGATGTCTCATTCATCGGGGCTAGACTAAATAACACATTTAATCTCACAGTTAGTCTGGTTTATCAGGCTAAACCAATGGCGTAATGACACAACAATAGGCCCGTAAGCAACACTATCTGGGTGGGCCTCATATGAAGTACAACACGTCATAAAGGTTCAGGATACGGCGACAGTTCAATAAACCGTCCAAGAAGATACAATTAGGCAATTCTCAGTAGTATTTGATCACACATCACACACAGAAAAAGAGTGACTGTGCACCTTGAATGCAACCATTGGTGACAACGCACCACCACATGTTACAGACATCCCAAGTGCTTATCGAACCCCACATATTATATGAGTGTATTTTTTTTAACAACTGTCAAATGAAATATACACAGTTATTAACATAGTAATTAAAAGTAGCACTGTTTGCTTTGCTATTGGTGTCGTGTTTAAACAGCTCACCATCATGGTGAGATCTGGCATGTGTTTTGGTATAAATGCGACCCGAGGCAGTCTCTTCACCATTACATCTGCAAAGACACATGCTAGTCGACAATTGCGTAGGGGGCCAACCAGGTGTCAGTGACGGGGCCCCTAAGAGGTTGTGGGTCCATAAGCAACTGCTGTCTCTGCTTACTGATATTTACGCCATTAAACATAACCAGCAGCTGCAAAAGCTTAAATGGCCACAGGTTCATTTCTAAATATTTGTTATATAAACTCTAATAGTAAATGATTTAATAGGTCCAAGAAAGCAATCAGTTGTAATCCCTTCTCTTATAGATTTAATAGCTAATCAGTAATTTATTCAGTATTCTGTTTTCAGAGTCAATCTTAGGCCACAAACTGTTCTAGAGGGGTTCTGGCCCCAGGTCTGTGCAACAAAACAATAGACACTGTTAAATTGACATTGCTCATGTTATAAATACCTCTGCAGTAGGAAAAAAGTATTCAACTATTCACCCCAGTTAGTTGAACGGAGATCGATGGATTTCACTCAGTTGGCCTAAAATCTTTGCAAAGAGAGAACAGTTCATCATGCAGCCCTTTCTCTCTGTATTCAGCCCCGTTCTGCCTGGACAGAGTGTGTTCCCCTTATGTACAATAATGGAAAGTAGTCAGAGTCAAAACAAATTACAGACACTTTTGTTAAACAGTAACATGTTATGAATAAACCTTGTGGAGTTATACATATTTAAAGCCCATTATGAAACATCTTTAGTTCATTATTTGAAATGAATAATTATCATATTTAACTGCAGTTCTAATTATCACCACTATTCTATGCCATTTACCTTTTTCCTCTGAGCACAGAACAGTCGGCTTGCTTGGACTCACAATGAATCATGGGATACCCAAGGCTACATTGAATATACCTCACCTGTCCTTCAAACTGGGCAAATAGACAGCTGCATTTGAGGAGCTTTCCAACCTGAACAGGCCTCGGTGCCGCGCTGTGACGTAATCGGCATGCAAATGGGGTGGACTAACATTTCTGCTTTCAAAAACCTACAATGCAGCAATGGAGTTGATCCCTTCCCGCTGTCCTCGTAACCCCAACCCCTTTACAGGGAAGCAGAAGACCTGGCCTATTCAGCCAGGACAACAATTCTCTTTAACAACCCCCCTTTTAGAGACATAGACAAGTATGGGGCATTGCAGGCTAACAAAAGGAGCCAAACGACCCCCATTCCAAAGGGTTGGAGCACTTTGTCCGTTTCAGTTTGTGTGTTTTCAAAACAAAAAGAAGGCTTTGATGGGCTACTGTATAAAGCCTCCAACTCAACGCTATTCCTGACATTTTGAATAGAAAAAGCTTCCTGGATGGGAAGCAAAATGTCTTTAAACTTGGAAACAAAGTCCAGTGGATTGTTTTTTTTTTTACTTTTTTGGAATCACTATGACCTGGATGACTGAGAATCTTCACCAACGAAATGCAACATATCAACGTATTTGATGTGTTAAAGACAACTGCTGAACATGTTTCTAACTTCTAGCTACTGTATAATGGCGTATTGGCAGTGTTTTGGGATAAAAGCGGGTTCACAGGAGGAAACCCTCAGTTCTCCCCCAGACTTCACCCCATCATAGGGTGAGCCCTGCGTTCACGCCCACGACCAACAAACTTCCTAGCAGACATGAAGCTGAATCCGCTGTGACTGCAGACCTTCTTTCTTTCTTTTTAATACCGCGATCAAAGACATCTCTTAATGCAGGCCGGAGCAGCAATGCGCCTGAGGGGCGCAGATTTAACCGATGTCTACTAATTACGTATTATGCTGCTGTGTGACATAAGTTCTGGACTCGTTACGAATATACATGTATATATGTATACACCCAAAATTAAGAAAATACATAGAAAGTTCAGCGTATGCCAGCGTTTTAGGAGATTCTGGGACGTCGGGCATACGCTTGCTGAATCGGCAAGGTGTGACAGGGCCCTAACCTACAGCAATCTCTCTTACCAATAGTCCCACTGTGTCTAACAGGCTCCAGTTCATAGGCCTACATTAAAACACGGCTTAAGGCTAAAAGCAGAACATTTTCATCTTTTATGTTTCTTTCCTTATCCCATATAAGCATGCTATTTACTGTTCATACTGTTTACTTCAGATGTGAAACTTGTTTTTAATTTTTTTAAAGTTGATTCTCGTTTTCCCATCCTTTATTTTGAAAAATCTACACCGGATATAGATTCCCTGTGTCTCTTGTTTTATTTTCTTCCCAGGTACCGTTAGGAATTAAGTCCAGTTTGTTCTTTAAAATTTTTTATTTCAGCGCTGCAGAAATAAAACATTTTTATGTTTACTTTTCAAGCTATAGTTCAGGTTGAAAAGTAAACTTACAAAGAACATCCCCTCCACCCCTCCAAAAAATGTGGCTTTGTGCTGACCACAGGCAGCTCTCTGCTCTAGTTAAAAACATTTATCCGTGGCGTCGGAAAATGAACCGAGTGAAGAACCTCCTCTGCCTGGTTTCCTCCCACAGCTGCTGCTGAGACACGAGGCGAGATGTGATGGAAACACTGGTGGTGTGAAACCATGAGCTGCTGCACCTCTACTGCTCTCAACTCTGTGGTTTTTCTCTGTATTCAATGTGTCAAACATCTCATAGGCTGTAATTCCATTGCGCAAACAACGGACCACTGTGTGGACATTACAAAACTGCTTCAATAAATAAATATATAGTTTATATGTCCTTAAAAGTGTTGAGGTTTAATGTAGGATAACACTAATTTAAAAAAAAAGCATAATAATTATTGAATTTTATTGATGTCACACTGGATAAATTTAGCTCTGCATTTAACCCATCCCCTTGGGGAGCAGTGGGCTGCCATTGTGTGGCACCTGGGGAGCAGAGTGGGGTTAGGAGTCCTTCCTCAGGAACCCGGAGTCCAGGCTGTGGGGATGGAACCTGTCATGATTATTTTGCCTCTCATCTTAATCAAAAGAATATAATTTTAAGACTATTTTTAAAAGTTTTTTCTTCAGCTTTTCAAAGTTTTCTAGCTGGACAAGCTACAACTACTATTTTTCAGATTTAGCCTGCTCTTTTAGTTAATCTGTTAAAACAATTTTTTTTCTGATGAAAAGATATGTCTACCTGGTTTGTTCGGCTACATTTGTGGACATGCCAAATAAAAATTACAAAACGTAATTTCTGATGTAATGCCCTGGGTTTTCACGTCAATAATAAACTGGACTGGACTCATAACACAGACGCCCCGGTGTTATGAACCCTCAGCCTCCACCTCCTGAGGAGGCTGAGGTCCTATGGAGTGAGCAGGCCCCTGCCTAAAACTTATTACTCTGTGGTGGCATCAGCTCTCCTCTATGCTGTCGTCTGCTGGGCCCCTATCAGCGCAGAGCAGAACAGAGAGAGACTGAACAAACTGGTGAGAAAGGCCGTTTCTGTCCCAGCCTGCGCTCTGGGGTGGACCAGACTGTAGAGGAGCTGATCATCTCCTTTATTGAAAGACCTTTACACCCTGTTTATAAAAAGAAGCGCTACCACAGGTCATTCATTCCTTCTACCACCAGACTCTACAATGCAACACTACAATAACTTGTGCAATGTATAATATGCAATTACTATTAAATACCCAGTGAAATATCAATTCATCCAGTCCATCACAATTACCCCAAGTGGGGTTATAAGGGGTGCTGGTGCCTATCTCCAGCTGTCTACGGGTGAGAGGCGGGGTACACCCTGGACAGGTTGCCAGTCCATGGCAGGGCAACACAGAGACAAACAGTACAAACAATCATTTACACACACACTCACACCTAA